ATACATATATATATATATATATATATATATAAAATATAAATCTTTTGTTACATTATGAAAATCTTTATACTATCTTTGACTGTCACAAATAGATTTGCACAAATTTGTCCAAAACTCATGCAAGAATCGCGATATGGCTGGATTAAAAGGCTATGATTTCATTGAATAAATATGAGTGCTGCACATTTCAGTCAAAACGCAGTGCGTTTATATGAATGTATCTCTGAAGGGAACCGACTGTCTTCAGAAGAGTATCGATGGCATTTTCATCTTATCTTATTTACTTATAATGCCTGATAAAGTAGCGTTTATGAGTGCAGCGCTGCTTTGTGTACAGCTGTTACCGGGGAAACTGCTGTATTTCTGTCGTTCCAAAAGTGCCACCTATTGGCAGAGAATGAAATTTGATTTTAAAAACCCAGCAGATACCCTGACATAGGCTTCTTTAACTCTGACGCTCAATGTCTGCTCCTTCAATGCAGAGAAATATTTAAAAATATTTTTGGGTGAACTATTCCTTTAGTTCTCTGCAGTTTGCTAATACTGCACATCTTGTGCTCTATGTAGGCTACTAGATTTGCTAATACAAAACAACTTTGAAAAAGCAACATGACGCAACATGAAACACAGCAAAAAGACAAGTCTTTTCCATAATAACACATTTTCAAATTGCTAATAAATTTCACAAATAATTAAAAAATGCAAGTAACATTGAATTAACTTTAAAATTGAAATTTTCAGGGTAGAAAATGTTCTTGTGAAATAAGCCTTGTTTTATTTACAACCTTGAGAAATAATTTGACATTTTACAGTGTAGTTAACAGTAAACCTTCTGATGTCAGAGAGGGGAGACTGGCACTCTGGGCACACAATAGTGTTCAGCCAGGTGTAATTTGAGAGACCTACTCATGTCTCATTGAAGTGGTTTGCTCAGGGTTGCTGAAGCTCTGATTCTTCAGGCTACACATGATGGACAGCTTGTACTGTATCTGTTCCGTGAAGCCTTCTAGAAGGACACAGCCCCCTCACCTGCCCACTGAACAATGGATGAATCAGGTTCATTCAAAAAAAAAAAGCGAGGCAGGCTCGAGGAGCAGGGGATAGGATGGGAGGGCAGCAGGCAGCCCAGCCTAAAGCATCAAGTTTGGGACTGAGAGGGGTTATTCATGTGCAACCAGCAAAACAAACTGCTTAAGGTTACTGAGACAAAAAACAATTTGAGTCCAACAACCACAGAAAAGGTCTGATGGTCTCTGAACCAATCACTCCTCTCTGTAATCGTCTGTAACAATGAATTAGTATGCCTTGTCCCCAATCCACAAACTAAAAAAAATCCACAAACTAGCTGATTACAGTGAGAGGAAACACAGTGACTGCTCCGGATAAATCAATGGCTTAATTTATCCGAAAAACATCATGGGTTTAACATTGTTTGCCATGCAACATTAGAAAAACAATTTATTTACATAGTTAACATGGCGTATACGAGTCAGAGCAGTGGTTTTGTTGTTTGTGCAGGTGCTCTGACAAAATGAGCCATGGTGCTTTAGATGAATGATCAAATTTGGTTCCCTTTTGTTGTCCTGCCAACACAACACTGCACATTTTGATGTGATACACTAATAACTCTGGCTTAATAATGAATTGCAGAATTAATATGAATAGAGTAAAACAGTCTGACCTCTAAAAGCACATATTTAAAAAAAAAACACATGACTTCCTGTCTTCAAAAAATATCTCAAGAGATATACCTACTACAAACACCTTGGGTGTTTTGACTCTGAACCGTAACACCCTCCTGCTGGTGGGTTGGCAGTGGTAGCCAATTTACTGCCCATCTTCTCCTCCTGGATCCCAGCTTTGCTTCTCTCTCCAGTTCCGAAACCAACAAGGGGCTCTTTCTGCTGCCTCCCCCATCCTGCAGACTGCTATCTTCCTCTCATTCCCTGTTAGTCCAATTGCTGTGAACATTCTCCATACCGACTGGGCTGGGAATCCTCTACAGCCAACCTCGACTGGAAATAGTCATGCCTGCCACCCTTTCTCACGACAGTCTTGCAAAAGATCCTGACATTTTGCACTCTTCCTTTCAAAGGCTTGGTGGCATCCCATTCTTCCCACGGAACTGGTTCAATCAATACAATCTTCTTTGCCTTGTCAGACCACAGCACCACATCTGGCCTTAGGGTTGCCTGGACTACTTAGGGGAACTGCAATCTTCCTTCCAGATCTACTCTCATCTCCCATGCCTGGGCCTTTTGTAATAAATTGTTTGTTGTTGCTATAGTTGGTGGCTTTTCACCTTCTCTCACAAACTTAATCATTGATGTTGGTTTCTGGTATGTTTGCCATTTTTCTTGCATCTTTCCTGCTCCAGAGAATTAGCTAGTGTTCTGAGCATGATGGTGTCATGGCACCATCCGTATCTTTCTTGGGTAAGTGCTGTTCTACACCCTGACAATATGTGTGCCATGGTAGCCCGCTCTCCACAAAGCTTGCATAGTGGGTCCTCCCTCAGACCCCACTTGTGCAAATTTGTTGGGGTTGGTAGAGTGTCATACACTGACTGCAGCAGGAAAGAAATGCGAAAAGGTTCAAGCCTCCATAGATCTGCCCATGTGATTTGCCTTTTTGGAAGATCACATTTGGTCCAGGCTCCCTGTGATACCAGCTCCACAGCTCTTGAATGGATCATGGCCCTCCTCTCCTTAGTGTTTGCCTTCCCCCACTGCTGGAAATGGGAAGTTCCTAAGGCCCTGTCTCCCTGTGCATGGCATTCCAATAATGTCACGTAACTTGAGTATACTTTCAGCTTGAGTGACAGTGGTGTCGGCTGCCCACTTGCGACCTGATCTTGTCATAACACTTGCATGTCTGACTTGTTCATGCTGAGAGTCTCTGTATGTCATTACTACTCTGCATTTAGCCACCTTGCATTCCTCCACCACGGATGACAGGGGTAGTTGAAGCTGTCCTGACCTTATGTAGAGGCCTACTGAAGTGAAATTTGGAGGGATTCCCATCCAACTTCGAAGGTACTTGTTGATCTTTCTCTCCACTCCTTCCACACTTGTCATAGGGATCTCATACACAGTCAACAGCCACATAAGTCTCGACAGCAGTCCATGTTGGTATATCCATGCTTTGAATTTCCCTGGAAATCCTGATTTTTCAACCCTCCTCAGCCATTCCTATGTATGCTTTTCAGTGCAGGTGATGTTATTACTGTCAGATTTATTAATTGCATTAATTTATTAATAACTTGACATTTTTAAATAAGGCGTAGCTAGTTTTCCCATATATTTCCCAGATGTCCCAGATATTTCATGCATGACCACAAGAATCCTAAAAAGGGCAACAAAGTTTGAGAAATCACCTTCCTCCACAGCATGATGTAATATGCACAACCATAAGCATAATACGACTGTGAAAAACCTATCTCTTAGTATCGCTGTTTAACATCACTGCTGTGTGAGTGAGGCTGTATTTACAGGTCTCTTGAGTGACACCTCTATTTCTCTGCTACAGATAATGGCTCATCCCTCTATATATTTACAATACTACTTCAGTGAAGATCCTTGTCAATCCTGTAGGCCACCTTGAACATAAATGGGTCACAGAAATCCTGCACTTGTGCCAAAGTCCTCTGACAGGACTAGGAATGCGTGGAATGGGAAATGGAATAGAAGAGTGTTACAAGAAGAGGTAAGGGCACACAAGCACCTGCCATTATATTCCATAATCATTTCCAGTAAACAAAAGCAATTCACTTAAAAAGCTCATTTTTGGGTTGGAAGATTGAAATAAATAAGTGACAATCATACAAAAAATGGCATATGCAGCAATTTCCCTGTCGCCTTCTCTTCCACAGGGTACTCTAACCATTCTTTAGTCACCCTGGATAAACTGTAACTCCAACCATGTGGCTAAACATCATGTGTGCTCCACAGCTCAGAGAAAGCCACTCAAGCCCTAAGAGAGCTTTGATTTGCCCAGCAGGATGCAAGTGTTCTTCAGCAGATGGGACAGACACTTCACACAATCAGAGCAGTTTGATGTCTCCCAGCTCAGAGCTGTCCTTTGCACTCAGTAATTGAGTGATATGTGAGAGTTAGGCTGAGATCACAGCCTTACAGCTGTGCAAAGACAATCCTTTAACAACCATCAGATAAAACCTCTAAACACAATAGACTGTGCAATGTGTGGTAATGGGCACACACATGGTTAGCAGCATAGACACAATACACACATATATATATATTTTGCTATTACAGTGTGTTTACTCTGAGATAGCAGTGTTTATTAAATTTGCACACTAAAAAGCTTGAGTGTTTTGATCTGTGGGTAGATGGCAAAAAAATATGATGTGGAGCCAATAAATTCCTATTTTCAATATTACACTGACCTTAATATCAGCTTTTTGTATTCTTATTTCTTAGACTCATTACTTGGAAAGAAAACCATAAAATGGCATTTGGTTAGACATATTAAAGAGAACTTTTTAACCCTGGACGGTTGAATAAAATCTAAACAATTCAAACACATTTGTATATGTAAATTGCATTTTGTACCTTACCTTTCCTGAACTTCCTGCTCCAATATCAACAGGCAGAACACTGTTAGGAGAGAAAGAGAGAGATTTTGTTAAGTAAAATGGAATGAATAATATGAATAGTACATAAACTGACAACTTTTATTATGATAAGAACCTCTGCAATACTTGTTTCTAAAAGGGTCAATCTCAATGAGTCATTAAGTAGTCAGATATTTAACTGTTGTCCATGGCACCATACTTTCACATCTCTCTTATCACTTCATGGGCTCTCTTCGTATCAACAAAAGAATAGCTAATTGGCCACAATTGCATCAAAAAGGTTAGTCAACGGGGGAAAAAGTAACTCAGAATGGAGATTAATAATTAATATTGTAATACTAGTACAGTGTCATCTCTTTGCTAAGTAAATTAGTTTTCTATATTATTATAGACTATTTTTCGTAGGAGAAACTTTATGAGCAGTAAGATTTCAAATCAATATTTCATGTACAAGTAGCAATTTATTTGTCAAGTACCTAATAATAAGCTTTTATGCTTCATATTAGGGCCTTGATCACCCTGAATGGGTTTATTCTGTGATGGCCAACTGGCTATACATTGTACCTTACTTAATATTTGATTTCCATGTCATGAGACAGGTACTTATATAGTGGATACAAAAGAAAATCTGGACAACAGTAATCAAAATGCACCTTAGAAGACGAGATTAATGAAGCGTGGAACTAAAAGGCACCTTGCCGGATTTCCAGGGGAGCACTTTAGAAATGAGCACACACTCCAGAGATCCTAATCAGCCCATTTCCATTTGGGCCATTGAGAGAGCAAGCGAGACAAGATCCCTGCTGTGAGTCATAGTGCTACTGTCATACCACTAGCATGTCATACATGCATTTCAACCATCACTGCCTAAGGCACGTCATCTAACAGCAGCATCTGCATCTAGCTTTAAAATCATCTCACTGCTATATTTAGAAACACTCTTTCAAACCCACTATTTGTATGACTGGATTTACTGACCTGAGAATAATTTAATAAAAGAGCGAGACCATAGCCGAATTTCAGAGGAATACTGAAATATCGCCAAAAGTGAAGCTATTACGGTAATGGAAAGAAACAAATTGATTTTCCACACAATTGTCTAAATTACTGTACATTAGGTAAGGGATCATTAAACATTATTTTATTTCATAATCACCTATTAAAATGAGTGACTCTTGAAGTAGATTTCAGCATGCAGAAGGAAATAGTCACATTGATTGTTATTTCACCTCCTAATATCACAAATTGCAACCTTTTTTCCACCAAGTATCACTATATTACAGTGCTTTTTTATATTTTTAACAAAATGAAAGTGAATGAAAGAGAAGAAAGCAACTCAAATCTAAGGTAATCAGCATTTATAGGATATAGGTTATACAGTAGGTTTCAGAAAATATGAATCAAACATTTTATTAAAATTCTTCCAAAACCACATTACATTATGTGGTCTATGCCGTCGACATTCATTTTATGGCTCTATACTCTCATTGTATGTTAATAATTGTCTGTCTTTATGTCATTTATTTCTCCTAAGGAATTTAGGGGAAACATCTGAGGAAAAGTTCATACTATCGCTCTATCAAAACATGGCAATTTTTTTTAAGCCAAAACAGCCCAACACATCAACGTTGGCCAATAGTGTAATAGTTTGCAAATGGTGATACAGTTCCATTTTGGTGCCATATGACTGACATACTTCAGCATTAAATGAATCACTGAGAACCTGAGCTCTGAAAGAAAGAGCTCAAGTGAGAACCCAGAGTCTGCTGAGCTCTTAAAGAAAAACTCAAATTTCCCCTTTTGGAAAAAGTGTATTGAATCTTCACCTCTGGGTGTTGCTATTGGCCGAGCTCTCAGCGATCTGTGCACTGGGAATCCATTTGGTCTCATCCACCACAGTGCGCGCGTGAGGCAGCCGCCCCACATCCTTTATGGTCATCAGCATGTGGCAGGAATTCTTCAAGATCTGCACTGCCTCGTTATGAGAAATGCTCCGGAAACTACGTCCATTGACCTCCAGAATCTGATCCCCTACCTACAAAGATGGAGACAGAGAGAGACTTTAGAGATCTGACACTCCAAATGAGACAAAATGAAACGCAACAATGCCTGGCAGAACAACACAGAGCCCACGCACCACAGGAACCTCACACGTAGAGATTTCAATTAAGCCTGATAACTGATAAATAAGCTGTCCCTTCAGCATGATTTGTACATGAAATAATTGAATCTGTATTGCCAGAGCATTTGTTGTTGCAAACTGTGGCAGATAGACAGTTATGAATATCATCTGTCCCGTTTCCAAATTCCCTCAGTAACAGACTGACAGAGGAAGTGAGGGAGTAGACAATGAAGAGAAAGAGGAACATTCACTGGAAATTATTCAGTTACAAGCTACAAATAAAAGAGCTCAGTCTGTTCTCATTAAACCTACTCGGCCATAGCAGAATATTGGTGTGTTCTGCAAATCAATGTAATGAACATAATTCATGAAAAACACTCTGAGCAGTTCAGCACAGTGGGACAACAATCAATGACTATAACACTATTGTTTTACTGTGTCTAAATCATCTCACATCTCAATATGTCACTTCATAAATTCATTAATTTACCCAAATGTTGAAATTCTATCATTATTTACTCACTCTCATGTCGTTCCAAATGTGTACGCTGCTATTTTTGTAGCAACTGACAGATGTGGTCACTATAAAAAGCTGCTAAAAAAGCTCAAAAAACATTCTTGAAAAATTCTCCTTTTCTGTTCCATGGGAACAATGACAACATTTTCATGGCTGAACTATTCCTTAAAAAATACAACATACATCTCCACTGATATACAGATGAGGCTGGAATACTGTATATGGGGTAATGATTCCATTTCAGGGACAAAGCCAGCACTAAATACAGCAATTATGTAAGTATTTAGTGTCCATTTGTTTTTCCAGAGTCTATTGTATTACAGCGTACAGTGTACAGGGTCTATTGTATTACAGCGTATTTCATGTATTTCAAGGCTGTGATGCATTAAAACTCGTCCTGAACACTGACTTTTTCATCAGATCTATATAAAATAAATACCCTGCCAGCTTTTGTCTGAGCAAGACAAGTTCTAAATGATGGATGGATGTTCTGTGAAATGAGTGAGAGTCCAGGACTTTTACAGTGTGGAGGAAGAGTTCAAACTGAGCAATGTTCAAACTGAAGAGGATTGTCCCCCACTGAAAGTTTAGGGACCCTCCATAAAAAAAATCATTCCTTTCACTGGAAAAAAAATCTAATTATTGACATAACATGATTTTTGTTTGCCCAACATTTCTTTGATTACTGGTGCAAACCTAGACTCTTCCATTCCTCCTTTTGTTCTCCTCAGCAAAGCAGAAATAATAAAGAGAGATAAGTTATCGATGTGTGTCTGTTTCTTCCTCTCTGTGCAAATGTTCTTCATGCAGTGGAGTCAGCAGCCAGAATGCACTATAACTCACTGGAGTAGAGAGAGGGATAGTGAAAGAGAGAGAGGGTGATTTATAAGCTGCAGGAACTCAAGGATCTTTCATTTACTCACAGAAGGGAAACCGCTGGCATTCTTCTACCAACATTTCTTCCCCTTTATCACACTCTCCAATGCTCCGCTGCACTCTGCATCCCTTTATTCTGACTATTCCTCCACCCTCTGCACCATTACACCACTTTCTCCACCACTCTGTCGTCCCTCCATCCCACTCTCCTCTAATAGCCCTCTACATGACTTTATACTTTATTAATCCTTTGGGGACAATCAACACTAACATTATACATGTAGCACACAAATGTACAAGAGCATATGCAGTATTGTTAAACAGCTGACAGGACAAAACATTAAAATAAACACAACGAGACATGCATTACATGTTCATATGCATTTTCAGAATGGACCTAGACAGTTAACAGCACTAAAACATGACAAGAGTGCAATGGAATGTTAACTATACACATAAACTGTGTTTATGTGTATAGTTAAATTCAGTTAAGTTAAGTGAATTTCAGTTAAATTCACTCAATTATTAAATATACTATTTAAAAAAAAGAAAAATACATTTCTGGTTCTAAGATGTTAGTGTCCATTGTAAAATGGTATGACTAAACCTCTGGTACATCACTTAATGTATGTGAAATTGAGGGGACTTTGTACACTAAAAATTACCTTAAGACAAGTTGGATAAAATTAATTGTAACAGAAAATGCAACAATTCGGACACTTTGGGGCTGGTCTATGTGTTATGCAGTATACAAAGCAACTGCGTCCATTAAAAGAAAGCTAGTTTAATCTTGCTTCATTTTCCTTTATGCACTCAAATAAATCCCTATATACAAATGGGATTTTCATGTGTGACTTATTATGAGAGCTTGGATCTGTCCCAAATGAAGACTGAAACACCATAAGGAACAATAACTGTGCTGGACTATAGACATGACCCATTTAAGTTCTTGTGAGGCTTCTCACTAGGTCATTTTGTAGCTCTATTTCCATCCTCAGATGCCTCTGGCTGTCTTTTTGTGTTCTCCAGGTGGGTCTAAATGAAACAACCATAAAAGACTCAGACAAAGTTATTATACCACAGGCAGGATTCAGGCCACTCCTTAAATATACAAACACACAGCGCGTGCCTCACACATCCATCTGTCAACTACAGCTGCGCCGGACACCAGCAGTGGTGAGGCACAGATAAATGTGTCTGACGGACGTCCGCCACAGATCCAGGTGAGCCCAGCTCATCTCCAAGGGAAACGGACATTAATTAGGCCCAGTGTTGAACTACACAGATGGGACAGATGCCGAGCCATCAGTCAGTTTTACCTCCAGTGCAGCTGAAGTTTAATCTACATGACTCTGAGTTCAGCAGACAGAGAAAGGGTTTTTGGGAAAGGGTAATGCGGCTGCTTGAAGGGAAATGTGGTTCAGAAAAAAGGAATTATGGAATGAGTTCAAAGGCCAGGAGTTTTGCCAGAAGCCCTATCAGCAAAAGAGCTAGGTAGGTAGGAGGATCCAAAACTTTGTGGAAAATGTGGTCTTCACTGACGAACACTGCTTTGTACTTTACACACACACTTATATATAGCAAGGATGCATTAAATGTATAAAAAATGTCAAAAATGACAGTAAAGACAATTATAATCTTACAAACAAACTAAAATATTCTATTTCAAACAAATGCTGTTCTGAAATTTCTATTCATCAAAGAATCCTTTAAAAAAAATTCTGTTTTCAACATTGTTGATAATAATACATTTTACTTGAACGCCTAATCAGCAAATCACCCATCACATGAATAAATTACATTTTAAAATATATTAAAATGTAAAACAGTTATTTTTAATTGTAATCATATTTGACAATATTACTGTTTTTACTGTATCAAATAAATAGCTATAACATATCTCTAAAAGTGGGGTAGTAAAATGATGAGCTGTCAACTTAATAAAAAGTAATTATTTTCCAGATAATATTTTTAAAAATTATTTTTGCTTCAGGACAGTGACAAAATACAATCTCATTATTTAAATTTTAAAAACATGTTTTCTTTGTAATAGCATTCTAAATATTTTTTTCACACAGTAAAAATTGGTATTTGTACATGAAAATATATACAGATCATCACATACTATAGTCACGTAAATTCCTCATAGGTAAACAAACTTGCCCAATAAATCTTTTTATTAAGACACACACACAAAAAAAGAGTAGACTGGTGTTTAGAGGAGTTCTTGAGTGGAACCTCTGATCCACTGATGAGAGGTCCAATTGAAGAAGCACTAAAACCCAAACAATTATAAAGAGAGCAAAATAAAAAGCCTCTCTTAAAAAAGCAAGTAGGCAATCTTTCATCTCCTTATTGCAACCACCGCTCTCCATTAGAGCAGTAAGGCAACAGTTGTGCGTCCCACAGAATACTGTTGAGCTCAGTAGATTTATGTGTTCTTGTAATACAGCAAAGTTCAAATCCAACTCAGGGAAACACTCATGATTTTTGGGGCCAATGATTGCAATATGCTATTAAATGGAAAAAAGTGGGACATTTCCCAGTAACTTCTGAGAAAACTACTATAAGTGCAAGTGTGTATGCAAGGGTTTTTGTTTTTTCATAAGCTGATAATATCAGCAGACAAAAGTGTCTAATCACAAACCAAATGTTCTCTTACCTCACTGTCTGCTGCCTGACAAATGCAAAAATGTAACATAAATGTCATGTTTCTAGGGTGACATGAGGTGTCTCTTCTCCCCTCAACTTCCTAAATAAATACCAATATATTTAATATATAGCCATTTATACAGTGTACAAATGCTAAAAAAAGACAATTAAATTAATTTAAAATTAGCTACTTTTATACTGCACTGATCATGAAAGAATGAAAACTTAATGATAACAGTACTACTACTACTGCTGCTGCTGCTGCTAATAATAATAATAATAATAATAATAATAATCTTCCTGGGGGTCCATAGACTCTTCTCTTGAGAAAAAGCAACTAACAGTGAGAAAAATATCATGATCAGCTAATGGCACCACAAAAACACAGTCCAAACCATTTGCAACTATCCTGAGCTGTGACGTCAGAGGCAGCAGACAGGGAAAAACATCTCCAAAAATCAATTTTCAGCTATTAAGAGCACTCCAAAAGAAACTGGCCACTGGTAAAACATTTACTAGGACTATAATACAATAAAATATCAACATATATGTAATTTTTGAATTATATATGTTCATATCTATAGATGTTTTACCTAATCATCTTTCCTCCCTGTCCAAAATCTTCACATTTCTGTCTTCAGATGAGTGATCCTAGTCATTTCAGTCCAGATACACCAGATCTTCTATCACCACCATCCTGAATAAATTCTACAAAACTCAATGTCATGTTGTCTCACTATCCTGCCAAATTATGATAACAAATGTCTGACTTTTTATCACCAGCAAAATCAACCCTTTTGTTAATATTTTTGCAATGCAACAAAGCGACGAGAATACAAATGTATGTGTAGCGAATCAGCTCATGGGGAAATATGAATAATTAATCATAACTAGTTATAATTAATTATAAATATTTAGATCCGCTGTAGATATTTACTTGACCTCTCAGGGTCAACTGTCTGTCAATTCTAAGAATGTTAATTTCCTGGTTAAGGGAAATTACTTTCTTACTGTACAATTCTACACAGAGCTTGTAGCATAAATCTGCATGATTAAAGGTTGTGGACATGCAGAAGCATGGAGCTGCATTACCAAAAACGTGATGTAAAATATTTATCTGTCTCTGGTGGGGCATAGGTAGTTGCTGAAGCCCAATCACTGAATAACCCAAGAGACTGCAGGAGGAAGACTAGACTAGTAATATCATGTGAAATAAACAAAAAAAAAATCAAACACAAAGGGTTGATTATTACAAACAATTCATCTCAACAGATTAAAGCAGACTGATGCTATGATGAAGACACAGGCTTGTAATATTTTCCAAAAAGCCTACCCGGCCTGTTCTCCAGCTGACTGGAGAAAGAGGAAACATCTTTCATCTTTCTGTCCATGGATTGATGCCAAAATGTTAAGAGCTCACTCAATCTTTTATGAGGCCAGCTTTGGATTTAGCGCCGCTTTGTTTCTACATCTTTCCGTTTGGCAGAGGGAACCTCAACCAATATACTCACACCACAAATTTAATTAGACACACTAAATGCAGTCATGCCGAACCTCAGCAACACTTTTGGCCACGTGTGGCTTTTCAAAAAAATAAAATCAGATGTCAACATGTCTGAAACAATTTGTGTTTGTTTTAAGAGAACAGGTGAAGAATATTACCAGTCAAAACACAATGACTTGCAGTTTCAAACATGATTAGCTTTCCTGTCAGGTGTCAGGTGGCATGTAAATTTTGCACCCAGTAAATGAGCTGTTCCCTTTCAGTCGGTCACTACGAGTCACGTCGTGACCGACGACATCATTGATGAATCACTGACTGACTGAATCACTGATTGACTGATGACTTCTAGCAACCTTATTAACAGGAGAGACAAGCAGGCAGCAAGCAGGTTGTGCGTTACATGTCTCCTCTTTGTTTCTGCGTTGTGTTAATTTTTCTGTAATGTCTGGCGCACTTCATTATTTTTACCAGTCTTTGGAACATTTTTGTCGCCTGCCTCTGTGTGTCTGCGATCATTTTTGGATTGTGGGCGCTGGCTGAGTGCTTTTGACGGCGAGTTGCGGGGCCTGTTGCGCTTCTGCTGATCCGGTGTCTGGGTGGACGTCGTTTTTGTGTGGCGCACGAGCTGCATGTGAACTACTGGACTACTGGTCCTGTGTTGTCCGTTGACTGTTTTGATGTTTACCGGATCTCCGGTTTTCCAGCTTCTGCTAGAGTACTGTCTGGTTAAAGATACGATAAAGCGCTGGCTGGTAGTATTGGCTCTTTGTTTACACGCGAAATTCAACGTCATCTCTCAGCTGACTCGGTGGATTGCAAACTCGGACTGGACTTCACATGCTACGGATCCGGAGCTGTTTTTGATGGATTAGGCTACTCACTGTCTTTTAAATCTGTGGTTTGTAAACACGGATTGGATTCCAATATGTCACGGTCAACTGACTTACCTGGTTAAATAAAGGTTAATAAATAACAAATCGCTGCACACTGCTCCCATCCATAAAAGACACTACGGTGTAATTTAGACAGAAATAAGGACTTGTCTCAAGCAATCGGGTTGCATGTGAGTCGAGGCACAAATAATTGTAATAAAGTTAAAGTAGGCTCTCAAATAGTCAAATATTTGCCAAGTTCTCTAATTGTGACTCAAGATATTTTACCTTTAGTCCGCTGTACTCTGCAGCAGACCCTTGGTCCACTCCGGTTATATAGATGCCCAGAGCATACTCAGCACCTCCACGGATCATCAAACCCAGAGATCGCCCATCATCCAGTGAGATATTCACCTGAGGAAAGAACACACATTTGTTACACACATCAGTTATTTCTCAGCACATAAAGACTCCTTCACCTAGATATCATACTATAGAGATGACTGTGTCTTTAAATAAATTGTGTCTAGCAAATACAAAAACGTCCAAACCAATTTAAAGGTGACAATTTAATTGATGTTCAATTAATAAAAAAAACAGATATAATACAGATAAACAAATGATAAAGCTTCGCTTAATGAATATTAGATCTCTTTCTACGAAAGCGCTTTTTGTGATCACAGATCATAACCTAGATATGTTAAGTTTGACAGAAACCTGGCTAAAACCAGATGATTACATTACTTTGGGGGGGGGGGGGGGTCTAAC